CTTTTTTTTTGAATTTTCAATCCCCTGCTAGCGGTCATGGCCTCTGGTACCTCGTGGATTACTCAATGCTGATTTTGGCTGTTTCATTATGCCGAGTATATTGTGCTTGACAATATGCCATGTATTTGCCAAATGTTGATTCGGGGTGAAGTAAGAAGCCCTTAGGGGTCAGATGGAGCGTCCGAAGTTTAAGGGACAGATTCACTCGATCGAGTTACAGCTAAGGGATGAAACACAGACTGCAAATTTACCTCCAAATTACAAAGTGTGATTTTTCAACAATCTTACAAAACAAATATTTTTCGTCGGAATCAAGCAAAAAAAAGAAATTAAAGGATGTTTGTTAATTCCAGCAGATAAAAATTCTGAGAAAACTCACAGTTCCTGGACGATGTCAAGTACGGATTCACCAGTTTCAAGGAAAAAATCGGCTTTAACTGGCACAGTACGTTTACCACGACAGCATCGAATTTTCACAGGAGTGCCAACCGGCAGGATGGAGCGCAGAATGTTTGTTTCCGATCGATGTGGACGATTGTCCCAGGATGATGGTAAACGGCAAAGATACATCTGAAAATATATGCAAAAAATCCTGGAAATCTTAACAATTTCATAAATCCTCGGCAATTTTTCCTTAAAATTTTCAATTTTCAATCCACCACTAATCTTCGCGCGCTTAAAACTAGCGTTAGCGTTAAATTAGCCCCTACAAGCTCATGCATCCGGTATCTTGAAGCCCCTGAACCCACATTTTCGGCATCTTAAATCCCTGAATCCATTTTTTGGTATCGTAAAACACCTGAGCCCATAGCTTCGGTATCCTAAATCCCCTGGACCTGCGCGCCGGTGCCCAGGAAATATCTCAGAAGTTAGTAGTGGATTTATTTCTGAAAGTATACTTTTTTTTTTCAAATCCTACTGCATTTTTGCTTTATTGTAATATTACTGAAGACTCTTCTTACACATTATTTCGAGGCATCTTTCTTTGAATTCTCTACACCTTTGTACCCAATAATTCATAATTTATCATTACTGCCATCATTTCTACATAAGGTAGATTTCGTCCCATTTCATATACCACAAATTATATGTATCGGCTTAATCTACTCCAGTATTCTAATTCAAAAATAAATACAAATATACATATGAAAATGAAAAATGCGTACAAGATAAAAGTTTAAATTTAAAAATAAAACGAAAACGAAGGGGCAAAACAGGGAGTAATCGGCTTACTTTTTGAGTATATAATCTAAGATCAACAGCAAAATAGCTGAGATTAGATGTTTCGGTCCATTAAGTCATATACGACCACTCTATGTATTATGAATTTAATGAATGATTACTAGTTTTATAGGTTAGATTTGACAGAATCGTGAATTTTGTCACTTAAGCTTCGTCTCCAATTATCACCAAAAAAAAAAAAAAATTGCAGTTTCAAAGCAAAAGACTTCTCAGGGTTCCAAAAACTTTCAGAAAACATTTTCAAATTTCTCTCCCTGATTCTTCTTACAGCTTTACCTAAGCATTAGTTTCATAAACAGGGAAGCCCACCACTGCAGTTGAAAGCTTTTATGAGGCAATTTCCGCCAATAAGTTTTTTTAAAATAAAGAGCAAATTTGTTTCGAACCCAGAGGAATAATATCAGGAAATCAAGAAGTCCTGACATCGAAGGAGATTCGAACACTGGCCTAGCTGGCACAGCTTACTGCTCTACCTCTATTATGCATTCACTCATGAACCAACGGGCATCATGAGCGCCAAGAACAGAGGCCAGATTTGAACTCACATTGTTCTGGCATGAGTTACACATTTACCTATTGGCCACGGCGCCATAAGTGGAAAATAGCTAAACGTATAATTCACTGCAGTTTTTGTTATGTGTATCATGAGCAAATGTGGATTTTCCTTTTTTCCCTCTCCCTTCTACCTCACCCTCCACCCCCTCCCCCCGCTCCCTTCCCTTCGCTCTCAAATCTGAAAAATATCAAATACACTGCCCCAGGGAGAAGTTATTTTACCTCCTGATTTACCGCCCTCGCATCCCCTTACAATCGTTTATGCGCCTCAAAAAGAAACATATGGGTAAGCCTTTCTTGCACAGTTATTCAGCCCATATATATACTTATTTGAATACTCAAGCAACTGTATATCATTGGCATCCATTGTCAAGCCACACATATAATGAATTTTACGATTATTATATATATATATAATCGTAAAATTGAAATTTTCTAAAAATTTCGAATTTTAAAAGTTCAACTTACAAGTGGTATTTCGGCGAATTCTCTGGTTAGCAAACGCAAACAGCCCGACAAGCAGCTTGTTTTGAGTAAACTCTTCTTCCATCCATGATCCGCGGAACGTATCAAAACTGTTTGGTCGTTAACTTTTGCTATAATAACCCGACATGGACCACAGCCGAGATGAGTATCTGCATATGCGCAAGCAATCGCCGGCATTAGCCATGCTTCTGGAACGATATGCAATTCTGGCCACTAAAAAAAAAAT